ATTAGTAAGAAGATGCAATCAAAATGTACTGGTCATAGTCTTTATTATTATGACAAGACAATAGCACCTACAGATTTGCTTGTAGTGACGACAGGTTTATTGTAAAACCTATTTAAACGTGCTGGCAGCCGACCAGTCAGCTAGCTTCAAAATATCTGAAATGGAGGCTCCTTTAAGTAGGGCTGCAGAGCTAGCTGCGGAACGAAAACTATGAGCCTTATAGATTGATGTGTCTACAGAGGCTTGCTGAAGCACATTCTTAAGCCAACGAGCTATGGAGCACAAGCGAACTGCCCTATGGGGCTTACAAAATGAAATAAATATTTGATTCACTGAACCCTCATCCAAAGTTCTTAGGGATTCAGTTTGAGCAATATAATGCAAGAGATGTGCACGTGGGCACAAATTAATGTTTTCAGCAAAGCGTGGAATCTCGACCTTTGGAAAAATCTTTCCTGGTCGAGATGTCTTAATACGGTCCTTTATTAGAAATACGATCTTGTCTTCATAGACCGACATGTTATCGAGGCTGAGCTTATGAAGTGACTGGCACCTTTGGGCAGTAACTAGAGCAATTAAGGTGGCCACCTTCAGGGTCAACTCTTTCAGCTTCTGTAAGCTTTGCCTTCGTTAAATACATCATTAAGGAAATCCAGAAAGGCTGTTACAGGTGCTTGAAATAAATCAAGCGACCTAGTACCGCACCAGCTACACCAGTAGTGCCAGGCTGCACTGTATTGCTTGCAGGTGCCCTGAGACCAAGACTGACAGATAACTTTGGCAGCGTCTTTTGAAATGCCTTGGTCAACGAGCTGTTGCCTGACACAGTCCAACCAGCCAGTTGAAGCTGATCTCGAAGAGGGTGGACTTGGTCGTTGTGACGCAGGATCAGCAGATTGGGCCACCTGGGCAGTAGAATTGGACGAGCTGTAGACATTTCCAGAAGACTGGGATACCATGACTGGGAAGGCCACACTGGGGTTACGAGTAACACGTTGGACCTTGTCTCTCTTCAGTTGGATTAGAACTCTTGCAATAAGGCTAAAAGGAGGAAAGGCGTACGCATTAAAATCTTTCCAAACTAGAGAAAATGCGTCACATGCAAAAGCCGACGGATCTGGTGACCACGACGCAAAACGACGCACTTTGGCGTTCAGGCGCGAGGCAAAGAGATCTATATCAGGATCGAACGTTGCCTGCGACAACCACTTAAACACAGTGGGATGGAGGCTCCATTCCGTTCTATCATTAAAGTGGCGAGAGTTAAAGTCCGCAGTTTCGTTATGAATACCCGAAACATGGACGGCACTGAGCATTAGGTTTCTAGCTATACACCATTCCCAGATAGTTCTTGATAGCTGATTAATAGCGGGAGAGTGAATTCCACCCATGTTGTTAATATAATAAACGGCCGTCGTATTATCGATTTGTAACTGGACATGAGCATTGCGCAATTCTTTAGTGAAACATTTCAGAGCGAAAAACGCCGCTAAGGTTTCGAGATAATTAATGTGATGAGTGGTTTCGGTTA